GTTTTCCGATGACTGAACTTTGAAGCGATGAAGTGCAGAAATGCTTTTAGATAGAGAGAAAAAAAAGTTGAGTTACAGAGAGAACTAACGGGTAGATTACACCGTTAGAGGTTTTAAAGTTTCTAATGAGGTTTCATTAATTTATTGGTTAGACACACAGACACAGAGTGGGACATGAATTTAATTATGTGATTATAATTATTTTTAATTTATTTATATTTTTTATGAGAGAAAATATTATAGTAAATTACGAAACATGATTCGAATCAGAGAACGAATTTAGGTACCAAACGGACTCGAAATTTTAGACGAAGAATCTCAGGTGTCGTTCAGTTTTATGAATTTGAGTTAAAATGTAATTTTATATAAAAAAATTTTACTGTAATAAAAAAAATTAAATGTGATTTTTTATAAAAAATTTTAACTGTAATAAAATTAAATTTAAAAATTTAAATTAATGAAATAAATGAGACTTGGACAAAATTATTAGTGGTTTTTTTTTTCTCAATATAATTAAGGAAAAGAATTGCCACGTGGTTTAGTTGGACAGCAATGTCGTTAGGATCTACTGGTAATTAATACTAAAGCAATCTCTAAGGATAAGGATAAAGATAAGAAATACTTTAGGTTGTGTTTGGAGTTATTTTTATTTTTATTTTTTACAATTTTTGAGAAAAAAATAAAAATAGAAGAAAAATAACGTTTGATAAAATTAAAGTCAAAAAATAAAAATAAAAATAATTTTTTAATTTAGTGTAAAAAATGAAAAACAACTTTTATTTATTTTTTATTTTTTATTTTTATTTTCTCTTCTCTCAAATAAAGAGAAATAATAATAGATTTTTTTATACTGAAAATAATTTTTTAATAAAATTATAAAACATATTTTTAAAAATAAAATCGGTCTAAAATTAAAATTATTTTTATTTAAAAAATAAAATTATTTAAAAATAAATTTTAAACGCACCATTAATTACTCTACTTATTTGCAATTAGTGATGGATCAGTAGATCTTGAAAATTTTATGCCACGATGGGCAGCAACTTCCCATTAAAATATTGTGGATCGCAGACGGTGCAGTTGCTTTTCCAGACAGCTGCAAAGAGGACATGGCCATGGCATGGCTCCAGCTAGCAGAAATAACAAATTAAGAGGACGTTTGGTTGGAGAATTTAAATTATGTGATTTAAATTATTTTTAATTTACGTGAATTTTTTGTGAGAGAAAATACTGTAACGAATCACGAATCATGATTCAAATCAAGGAACGAATTTCTCTACCAAACATCCTCAATTTCTAGAGAAATTCTTTGTACAAAGTCAAAATCCAGTTTGCAATCTTTATTAATCATCATGAGTTCATGACATAACCCACAATTGCAATGGCATTGACTTTGACCAACTGTAAAGATATGTCTTACGCGGCAGACCCTTGGTATAAGCCATCAAGGTTGCCGGTGGCTTTATGATTTAGGTCAAGTTTAATTTATGGCTTTAAAATGATGATTTATAATTTTAATTTTTAAAATTTAAATTTTTTATGAGAAAAAAATATTATAATAAAATTAAAAATTATAATCTTAAATTAGACAGAATTTTTAAAACAAACGTCACCGTAATATTGTTGAGTCAAATTGTGTGAAACAATTGAAAAAAAAAAAAATGAAGTGAAAAAGTGTGAAGAGATCAGGTTGGTGTGGTTGGTGAAGGATTGAGCTTTTGAAGGTTGTTTGTAAAGTTTTTGCTTTTGCCTTTAATTGGGAGAATAAGGGGTAAAAATTATGACTTTTTAATAAGTGTTTGAAATTTTAAGTTTAAAAAATCATAAATAAATTAAAATGTAAATTTTTTTATAAGTAATAAAAATGTAACAATGAGATTTATAAAAATGTAACTTTAATTGAAAGTTTTTTAACAAATTATTCGAATACTTTAAGAAATAGCTTGGACTCATAAAACAATTAGCCTTGCTTGTAGTAAAAGCACACATACGGCTAAACCCTTCACCAAACCCCACATCCCTTTCTCACCTATTTTTTATAGGGCATTTCTTTAAAAAAAAATAAAAAGTTAAAGGAAATTAAAGACATTCTTCTTGAAGGGGTTTGATTTCTTTAAATACCAAGCAATGATTTCATTCTCAAAGTCCTCGCCGATAATCTTGGATACGTCTCTAGTCTCCAAATTCAAAACTATTTTAATCCTCTTCCTCTCTAAAAAATTCCGAAAATAAATTTAACTTTTCATTTAAAATTAGGTTTGCAAAGAAGAAACAGAAGACTATTATTGCAAAGCTACTTGAACACATTTTTTAACACAACCACGATTGTGTAGTCAATTTTCTAAGTAAACAATGAGATGACCATTGGTAACACCATAGTGGCACGGAAAAAAACCCGCCACGGCCGGATTTATGACTAGGAAAGATTCAATTTCTAATTTGAGCATAAATAATAGTTTCAATATTCGAAGTTGTGCTTTCCAATATTGACTTATTCGGAAGAACCTTTTCCTACTCTCTTGCACATTCTTGTTGTCAAAAAGATATTAGTTTTAAGAAGTCTCTTCTATGGGAACCAGAACACTTTCTCTAGCACGCGAGTTTCCATTTCCTGCCTGGCTCTACCTGAACTGAAGCTATTTCTTTTAAGTAGAATATTACGTTAGAATATAGCTTTCAATCGTCAAAATTCAATCAAAGCTATACCAGTTTAGTAGATATTTGATAACGGACGGTTTATTGTGTCAAATTGATAAAATATTCTTAAAGGAAACTTTTCCTATGCTAAAAGAAAAATTCCTAATACCAATGTCGAACATACAATTACATACGAACTTGATGGAAATTACAATTACAATTATGATTCTTAAACGATTTCATGATTCTTGTAGAGCGATAAATTTACGAGCCAGGCATTGGTGTCATGAATTAGCTAGATTCCTAGTACCATAAACCATCCATTTTTTTTGTACTTGCAACAAAATCCTCGTCCTTTTAATTTATTGATTTCCCAGTTTTCGTTTTATTCAACTGTGTGTTGCCACATATATTCAAAACTACCCCAAGTATTATCATTTATTTATTTTTTAATATATATATAGTGGCAGACTCGGGATTTTAGTTCAGGAGAGGTATAGTAAGTACTCTTAAGAGCAACTTCAATTATGTTAGTTATTTTATGTTCTCAATTAAAATAGTTAATAATTTAATTAGAATTTAACTTTTTTTCACTCCAACCATTAGTTAAATTAGTTATTTTAGAGACTTCATTCCACACTAGTTAAATATAGCTATTAAGAAGTGGCTAGCTATTTTGATTTTTTGTATTATTTTATTGTTTCAAACTATAATAAATACAAAGGTTCTTTTAAACTTCAATAAAGTTATTTATATTTTTAAACTCAACAAATATTAAAATAATTTATACTCAGCTAAAATAGGGAGTGTGTTTGGAGTGTATGGTCACTCAAAAATTGCTAGTTAAAATAACTTTCTAGCTATTTTAGTTAAAATTTAGAGAGCTCACTTAGATATGCTCTAATACTATTAACTAATTGAAAGTGTGTGTTAGGCACATACATGTTTAATTTATTGAATTTCTTGTTTAAATATAAAATTTTGTGAAGATTTTACTCTCTTTTTTTAAGTCATCATTCTCATAACATTTTAGTTCATAAAATATCTAGTAGAATGGATTATAATATGTTTTGGTTAACATTATACATGCATAGAAACGCATAGAATATAATTGAGTAATAAATATTTTAGTGACAAAATTATTAGAAAGTACACACGAATAACTAATAATTGAAAGTGCTAGAATAATAAGAATTATTAAGGGACACATTTGAAATAAATATTTTTTAAATAAGGGCAAACTAAAGAAGAAGTATTTATGAGATAATAATTAAGAGGGTTGTGTGGATAGTGATAAATTTGAGGACAATTATATTAATGACTCATTTAATAAAAGTTTTCTTATTTGAGATCACTTTTGATATGATAAACACTATATGAAATTAGATTTAGTGGAGACATTTAAACTTAGCTGATTAAGAGGAGGGTAAATTTGGAAAAAATTTGAAAAACTATATGCATTTTAAACTAAAAAAAACAAAACTCCAGGAGCCTAAAAAATTTCTTAAAAATCCAGGCCCTACCTCTCTCCTCCTCTATATTTAATAGCATGCTACTGATACACCTTACCCTACTTTGAGGCAACCATTAAGGGTGTTTATCGAATTCAATCAATTGATTAAACTGACTGGTCCAATTCAATTTATTTTTAACGGTTATTAACCGATCTCAATTGGATTGAATTGAATGTGAACTTTTAAAGATTGATTTGGAATGAATTGGATACTAATTTTACTTTCAAAACACTCAATCAAAACCGATCCAACCTCTATATATCATATCAAAATATATAATTATATTATTGGTCTGAAATTTTGATTCTAGCTTTTTCTCAAACACTTTCTTTTTAGGCTTTTCATTATTCTTTTTTTTTTTGTTGAACTTTTCTGTTTAATAGTTTGTAATTTTATTTTTATTTTTTTAAGTTGTTTGTTGGTGTTTAATTAATTTTGAAGTAATTTGGAGTTTATATGCTTTTTTCAGATTTATGAAAGTTAATTCTTACTTCAAATTTTCAATTGTAGTATTTAAATTTTGTCAAAAAGATCTAACAAATAAGTTAACTTGAAAAATAAAAAATAAAAAAATATACAAAAAGCTCAAATAAAAAACCAATTGGTCCAATCCGATCCAAACCGACCTTATTTACAATTAGTAAATAAAATTTCCCATGCCAAAAACCCATTTCTTTACTGATTTTTACTTTTTGATTTTCTCGGGGGTCATTTTTGGTAATTAAGTTGCAAGAAAAGAACCTGAATGGCATTCCCGTCCCGATTCATCAGTCATCACTCCATAAATATAAAACACTTTCATTCACTTTTCACGTAATAAGTACAACCCTCTTCGTAACCGGCGCAAAGCAATAAAATACCGCGACGCAAGTCTCTTTTATACAAGCGGCTTCTTTCATTCACATATCACGTTTTCTAGAGAGAGAGAGATGGGAATCGGAGGAACGACGTCGTTGGAGGAAGTAATAGAAAAGGCCGGAGGGTGCGCGGTGGTGGACGGTGGATTCGCGACGCAGCTGGAGAGGCACGGTGCCGACATCAATGACCCTCTCTGGAGCGCTCTCTGCCTCATCAAAGACCCTCATCTCATCAAACTGGTTCTCTTTCTCCTTTCAATTCTATCCCTCCCTTTTCTTTTTCCTACATTCTCGATTCTGTTTATGTTTTTGTTTTTGTTTTTTTTTAAAGGGATTTTGTGGTTTTCTGTTGGACAGGTGCACATGGAGTACCTGCAGGCCGGCGCTGACGTTTTGGTCACTTCATCTTACCAGGTCTTGCTTTTTCTCCCTGTAATTTTTTATTAAAAATAAGAATCTTTCTCTTGTGTGGGCTATAGACTTGATTTTGTATCACGTACATGTACAAGATTCAACGTTCAAATAAAAAAAAATAATAGTTGAAAAAAATTCGTGCTTTTCATTGTGGAGAATTCTTTGCTATGGTGAAGAACCAAAAAAGAAAAAAAAAAGTTCTTTTGACAGTTCAAAACAATGTCTTATCTGTGGGGGGTTTTTTTTTTTTTCCTCCTATATCCTAGTACAGAATTCTCCTAATTGCTGTGTTTAGAAATTGTGCAGAAGGTTGAACCATTGAGCTATGATTCTTTTCTTTCTTACAGAGATGTGGTTGCAAATTGAAGCAAGAGTAGTTAGTAAATTCTAAGGAGCATAAAGATTTGTCTCCTTTTTTTTTTTTTTTTTTAACAATGTAAGATTTTTGTTTTGTTTGCCTTTTTTGTTTTGTGTTCCTGTTTTTTTATACTTTTTCTCGTTGTATATTGAGCTAAGAGAAACAAATTTTAGGAGAATAACACAAAACTAAAAAATAATGATGATAAGTTGAGAGGAACATTTCATACTCTTCTCTAGTTAACCGTACGATTATTGGATAGTTCTGTGTGGATTTCTGACTCTTATACGAGTTTGGTAAATGATTTGCTAGAATTCTGTTTAACATTTTCAATCTCTATCTCTCCTTCCTTTTTTTTTTTTTTTCAACAGGCCACCATTCCTGGATTTCTGTCCAGGGGGCTGTCCATTGAAGAAGGAGAATCAAGAGCGTCACATTGGCGGTAGAAGCTCGCGATAGCTTCTGGGATTCCATGAAAGCAACCCCCGGGCATGGCTATAACAGGGCTTTGGTTGCAGCGTCCATTGGAAGCTATGGAGCTTATCTTGCTGATGGTTCAGAATACAGGTTCTTCTATTCAACAATATGATGTCAAATTCAATGACATGAAGCCTGTTTCTGATTTTATTCAATGTAGAACATTTGAATTAACCTGTCAACCTATTTTGTTTCAGTGGATGTTATGGACCAGAGGTTGGTTTGGATAAGATGAAGGATTTCCACAGGCGAAGACTGCAAATCCTTGTGGAAGCCGGTGCGGATTTACTCGCATTTGAGACCATTCCTAATAAGTTAGAGGCACAGGTTTGTTGATCGGATCTTTTCTCCAAGTCTGGTGAACCATCTCTTTCATGAATAATCTCTATTTACCAAACACCAGACAAGTTAAACTAGTTCATTTACTTAAAAGTTGAAACCGTCTAGGCTTGTATAGAGTTGCTTGAAGAAGAAAAGGTGCAAATACCATCTTGGATTTGCTTTAGCTCTGTAGATGGTGAGAATGCCCCTTCAGGAGAGAGTTTCAAGGACTGCCTTGACATTATAAACAAAAGTGACAGAGTGAATGCAGTCGGAATAAACTGCGCACCTCCTCATTTCATTGAGGCTCTCATCAGAAAATTCAGTGAGGTAAACCTCTCAACTTCGACCATATTAGGCCGAAAAGAAATAATTTGTTCAACTTTTTTACACAAAAATTTATGTCTCCAGTTTACAGATAAAGCTATAGTTGTCTACCCAAATAGTGGTGAAGTCTGGGATGGCAGAGCCAAGAGATGGCTAGTAAGTTGCTCATTTTGAAATCTCTCTCTAAAATGATTGGTGTTTCTTGTATTGAGCGATTCAAATTCGGTTTGCATTAGCAGCCATCGAAGTGTTTCAATGACGACAAATTTGAATCTTTCGCAACAAGATGGCGTGACCACGGAGCTAAACTGATTGGAGGGTGCTGTCGGACAACACCTTCTACCATTCAAGCCATTTCAAAGGCATTGAAAGAAAGGTCTTAATATAAGGCTTCAGTCATTGCCAATCTGAAGAGACACTACTTATTTCCTTTGTCACAACAATAGCTACTACGCATAATTTACAGCTATCACACAGGATTGCTATAGAGAAGATTCAACGAGGTTTCAAGTCAAGTGCAACGTTCTTTTGCAGATTACCAAATTTAACACAGGTTCACCTGTCCCCTCCCTTACTAGCCGAAACACAAGATTAATTGACCTTTTGAAAAGAATAATGAAAGTTTATTTATTTCTTTTTGAAAGTGGTTTATTTATTTATTTAAATCCAAGGAGTTGACACATCAAGGAAAATGTACTCCTGTCTTGTTTGCTTATCTGCCTTGGGTATACTTTCTGTTTAGATTCATTAAAGCAATAAATGCATTAAAACTTGTAGAAAGACGAAAACAACAGTATACGGTCCTCCTCAGCATACAAATTATTACCTTACAGTTTCGTAATGTGCGTATTTACTGATGAACAAAATGAACTCAACGTGATAAAAAAGAAAAAACAAAACAGAATGAACTCAGAAGCACATGGTTTAGAAGAACAAAAAAGGAATAATATATATAAAAAAAAAAAAAAATGCTTGCAAGCGCAGACAAGAACATACTGTGCTCCTGTAGTTTCTCTTACTCATGTAAAGAAAATTGTGTTCGTTGAAAAAAAAATCGTAGTGCATTTCTTTTCAACAAAGTAACTTATTTTTTCAAAGCCAAATGATTGGTCTCGTTCATTTTACCAATATAAGTTTTTAATTTTAATTTTGCTACAGTTAAAAACTCTCACAAAAAGTCACATCAAACTTTTTTACTACAGTGAAAAGTTCTCACATAAAATCACATCTCAACTCAAATTAAAAACTTAAATCTGTGAACTGAACCAGGCCTTTAAACGTGAAGTATAGTCATTCCGCCCTTTTTTTGTTGCTGTAATTACACGCTATACTTACCTGTGAATCCCCCCATATTCTAAAAAAACAAGAAGGTAGATCCACAGACTGAAAGCCAATGCAGGAGTGTTTTAGTGCATGTTTTAATGTCGAGCGGGCCCACATTTATCATAATGTCCCCGAGCATTGGCATAGGAATCACCAAATTCCCTACCTGAATATCACATTTCAGGGCTTCCTTTCAACATCTCATGGCTCCGAAAACCTAGATGCATCAAACAAAAAGAGAGTGAGAAACATCTTGCTTTCAAAAGGTTTAGGCCCCGTTCACTTCGCTGATTCAAGTTTAGAATTCAAGTTTTTTTACAATAAAAAACTCTCACAAACAATCACATCTAACTTTTTTATTATAGTAAAAAATTTTCACATGAAGTCACGTCTCAACTCGAATTTTAAACTCGAATCAACGAAACGAACGGGCCCTTAGAGTACTGGAAGATCTCATCATCTCAATTTATCCAAAGAAGAGGTTTTTTCCTCTGCATTAAGGCACTGTGCTCGTAACTTCTCTACTTCGCGAGCCATGAAAACGAGGTTTGTTTCCATCGCTTGCTTCTGCTCAACTTGCTCTTCTTTGGCTTTTTTCTCATACTCACAAATCCTCCTAAAAACACGGAGATTGACAATTTTAACCACGAAGATAGGCAAAGCTTTTGGCAAGATACATGATAATCACTCTATCCTTGAATCGTACATGCTAAACTCCCTCAATGAGCTAAATCAAAACCTAACCAACATAACTGGAAAGTAATGAAACAGCGACTCATTGTCAAACCTGGCCTCAACAAGCTCCTTACGCAAAGCATCAATGTCAGTCCTCATGGAAACAAGTTGCTGATTCTTGTCTTTAAATTGATTAACAGATTTTGTGAGGCCCTGGACTTGGGAAGACAACTCCTGTCGTGAAGCATTTAGTTTCTCAACTCCAGCTCTTAACTGAACAACCTCTGCCCTTGAAGGACTGGTGGCATCCAAATCCGCTTCTAGCTTTAATCCTCTCGCCATCAAAACTCTTGAATGTGCCTCTTTCTCAGCTTGAGAGTCGGTATAACCTCACGCAATCTATAAATCTCATCTTTTGTATCTGTCAATTCCTTTCGAAGAAGCATATTATCATCAATCACAAGCCGATTCTCAGCAACAATCCTGTGCATTTCTCTATGTTGTATTTCAAGTTCTTCTTCCAAGGCTGCAAAATGAATAGGCAGGGGTCCGGGTCCTCGGTCCATCATGGAAACCCCGGGAACCATCAGGACGACGGGGCATATAATTTCTCGCGCCATAATTTAGAATTTAGATCCTGCAGAAATTACGTCATTGTCAGTTGTCACATCAAGGTGGAAGTAAACTGCATTTAACATAAACTAAGCCCAGTTTAAGACGAAATAAAATGAAATATCATCCTTCTTCCCTGGCTAAAATTAGTCACAGATATGATTACACAAACTTTGTAGCAAAGCCAGTGAAACATCTCTACTCTGACAAGGACTTTAGTTACAAAAGAAAAGCTAAGAATGATGAAAACTAACACACACACACAAAAAAGAGTTGTGCGGGAAACAAAAGCAAAGTTTTCAACGATTGGGAACAAAGGCAATCCCATCAAAGAGGGCGTCGTATTTGTTTCAACTGAACAAGGAGATGACGTGTTACAACTTACAGTGCTTAAGAACTAGAGGTGAGTCTCCGGTGGATCCGATCTCTCTGGCAGGAATAACCGCGGTGCCTTTCGTTAGAAAAGCAGTTCCTTCCTATTTGCCCGTTTTATGTAAATTCACGAAATCACCCTTGTATCTGTAGCTGGGGGATGAAAATGTCAACAATATTTCCACAACATTATTCATATTTTGAAGTCTCGAATAACGGAAGGAAAGAAAGAGTGGCCATCAAATATCCACAATATTAAAAATATTCATAATATCTTTAAATATCCATAAATATTCAAGATATTTTTAAAAATGTCCACAAAATGTCTAAAAACACCGAGAATATTTTTTTGCACAAAAATCAATTTTGTAGTACATTTTTTCCATTTTTTTTAAAGAACATGTGACAACATGATTCAAATTAAAACTAATAAAAAATATTAAGACTTAATTAGTTTTTAAATAATTTTTACATTTTAAATGAATGATTCTTATTCAATTTTTAACTACTTTCACGATTTTTCCATTTCTTTGAAATGTTATTATACATTCTTAAAGACTATTCGTCAAGTTAGATAAACTAACAGTATCCAACATGAGTTAACGGTGGAAAGAGATTGAGAAACATACATATGACACATCAACAACTACCTTTAGAATTATTCAAAGGTAATATCTTAACAAATGTATTATTTAGATCAAGATCAGAATCTACCTAATGCTTTTCAACGTGCTATAAACTCTTTTTGATATTAAAAGCATTTTGAATCTGTGTGTGCTCTATTATGTTTAGTAGTCAATTTTTATGTAATATATTGAATTATTTTACCTTGTTTGTATTATATTTGAATAATAATCTATATACAATTATGATAATTTCTTACTATATTATTTGACATAAAGCTCATTTTTCGACCAAAATGTATTATTTTTGTTATTAAATTAGTCTAAATTAAGTAATATTAATTGTTTCTAACATTTTTTAGAGTTTCAATAAAAAAATTTTAAGGTTTTCTTAAGGTATCCATTTTTTCTGGAATATCTGTTGACGTCGACAATTCTATCAACATTACTCATAAATGAAAACCTCAACAACCATGTCGACATTTTCATCCATGGCTGGGATAACCTTAGACCTTGGAGTTTTAGGTACTATTCATGGGCTTTTAACAACTTTAGTGGCCTAAATTGCAAAAATAAATAAATAAATAAAAAAAGAACAGACGGAACGTTGGAAAAAGAAAAAAAATTAGAAGATTGAACTTTTTTTTTTTTTTTTTTTTTTTATGAGTAAGCATGCATCAGAAGAGCGAACTTACGAGATTGAACCCTTTTTTTTAATTTATGAGTAAGCATGCATCAGAAGAGCGAACTTACGAAATATGAATGTAAAGTGTGTTAGAACAACTTCAACTATATTAATTATTTCATATTTTTAAATTAAAATGGTTTATAATTTTTTTATTTTTTTCCACTCTAATTATTAGTTATATAATTAGTTATTTTGAATAACGTCTTTTACACTAACTAAATATAGTTAGCATATAGAGGCTACCCATTTTATTTTTTTGTATAATTTTATTCTTTCAAATGTAATAAATGTAAAGGTTCTTTTTAAATTCAATAAAGTTTTTTATATTTTAAATTCAGTAAATATTAAAATAATCTATATTTAACTAAAATATAGAGTATGGTCGGAGTGAATTATTTAAAAATTATTAGTTAAAATAGCTTTTTAGTTATTTTATTTAAAATTTAACTAAAATTTGGAGAGTCCCTTAGATACTCTTATAATTTATGGAACGTCAGATTTATGTTTTTTCAATGAATTAGTTAAAGATTGACAACATGTAATTTTTCCCTGATATTCCCGTTGATCGGCTGGAATCAACATCCCGCATTAAGGGTTTTTGAAAAATCCGTGAATCTACTCAATCCCTTAAATCCAAATTGATCCATCTATTATATTAGATTCACAGATTGGAAGATATTTTTGGTGTTGGTAGGAGATTGAAAAAATTCCAATATGAAGGTTTTGAATTGATTTGTAGATGAGCATTGCTCAAGCGTAAAATTCGTAAAATGTATAAATTATCTATATATATTATTTAAGAAAAATATAAGGATAAATTTTATTTTTATCGTGAACTATAGTATCACTATCACTTTAATCTATGAAGTTTGAAAACTGGTCTATACGCCCCATGAGTTATGAAACATTATTGATTCTGTCAAATTAATAGACAAAATAACTGACGTGACAACATTTAGACTTATAGTTTAATTATATAATACCATCTGCTACCCTTTTCCACTAAATCAGTTTTATTTTTTGTTTTTTTTCCCCTGGTTTTTGACAAAAACAAGGGTTTATTCTTCCTTTCTTACTGTATCAGTAGCTTCTTTCAAATTGGTCTGGCTAAGGTTGGTTAGGGTAAAAAAAAAACTTTAAAATTTAGAAGACCCATGGTAAGTAAGTAGTAGCCAACGGTGTTCAAGATCAAGCATTCAACACGAGCTAAGCTTTAACTTTAGTAGAGAGATTGAATCAAAAAGGTTTACGCTTTGCAAATATGAACTTAAACCGATGATTAGGACTGTGAGAACACAAGAGAATCATTAAGAAGATTCTATGGTAGTGCAAAATATGAGGTTATAAGTTTTTTATTTTTTTTCTTTTTCTTTTTCTTTTTTTTTTTTGTTTTTTTCCCTCAAGTTTTAAGATTTGTGGCATTGTTTAGTATTATTTGTTGAAACGTTTGGGCCTTAAGAAATAGAAAATTTATCATTGAGAATGCA